CATTACAAATATTTTTTATATAAAGTAATTGTTATAAACTTTGTATGATTATAAATAAAAATTATGATCAAATTTTAATAAAAATATTTTATTAAAAAAAAAACAGATACAAAATGAAAAACACTAGTATAACAATATATTGTTAATATTGTTCTGAAGCTATTTTCTTGTGACATTTAGGGGTAATTACGATTTAAATGGGAATAAGCCACAATTAAAGCATAAGATAAGTTTATTGACGTTTCAATTTCCACTGAGGAAGTCAATCTCAAAATACAAACATTATTTTGTATTACATACTATGTTTTTTTTCTTGTAACCATCCATCCATCTAGTAACTCCATTCATCCATCTAGTAACTCCATCTTTCTCAATAAATTCACAAGTATCACTTCCACTTTCTTTTTCCTTATCCGACATCTTGTTCCGATTTACTTCCGCTATCACGTTCCTCAATTTGATCGATATCGTTTTCACTTCTCTCATCGTCAAAATAATTTTCATCGTCGGTAGGAACCATTTCCCATAATTCCAACAAGCGTTTTTGTTCGGCTTCAAAGGACATCTATAAATAGGAATTGACAAAAACTTACCGATAAAATGCAATAATAAGATGCCAAATATTGACCTGATAGTTTGGTTTGTAGGGAGAGGTACAGAAAGTGGCGATAGAAAAATAACAGTTATTTGCATAACTCGAATGAATATTCTGTCGTCGGTGTGAGACCGATAGCGACTAACGGAGGGTTAAGTAATTGTACAAATAGAAACCGTAGATTTTGCACTTTAAAATAATACGATTTAAGCCAATTTGCTTTAATAAAATGTTGATATTAAGAAAGATACAGAGTGTTAAAGAGTAAATTTAAAATTTTATTTTTTGCTTTTACTTTTACGTTTGTGAATATTTTTGGACAAAAATTTACAATCCTTTTAGGTATCCTTTTAGGTTTGGATCCTTTTAGGTACGATAAATTATAATTTTATACATACTTTAATGTAACTAATAAAGGACGCCACATATGCCACATGCGAGGCATACATTTATGCTTAATTTTTTTGCTCTTCCAGTTAGCTCTATTTGTGTTAAAAAATATTAGTAAAGATACATTATTTTTACAAAGAAAAGGTATACATGTTAGTAACCTTAAAATTCAACCGTTTTCGAGATAATCGCATTTTATGAGTCAGTTGCATAATAATTAGCCAGCTGTAGATAAGTATAATTAATAGTTTATTCTGATTAAAACAACTCAAAGATGATAATGTAATATCCCAAAATGTTTTGTTATGGCTGCTAAATATATTATTGCAGAAAAAATTCTTCACCTTCTTTAGATGCTGTGTCCGTATTCAGACGTTGGCCCCTTTTTTTACAAAATTACAATTTCCCTTTTCTATCACTTCTTAATAGAATATCATCGACGGACAGGGTCAGAAATGAGGAAGTACTCAGAAGAGCGGGCTTACAGGATAGGGAACTTTTTACTTATGTAAAAAGTAAGAACACTGCATACTTGGGGCACATATTACGAGGGGAAAGATACACTTTCAGCAACTGATACTCGAAGGGAAGATAAAGGGTAGGAGAGGACTGGGATGTAAAAAAATGTCATGGCTGCGCAATATTCGACAATGGACAGGAATCCACAACTATGAAATGCTTCGCAATACTGCGAAAAACAGAATTATTAAATCCTGACTATTTAAAATCTCACCTGACAAGACGATGTACGGTGGACGCCTACGCAGAAATGCACGGTACCTTAAGAAGAAGAATCATTTCTTAAGTTTCTATACTGGAGTTGTATTAGTTTTTGTCTATTGTTAAGTGCTGAAAACTCAAAATATGTGGTTTATACAATATGTTACAACACCACATTCTGGAGGGAAGGCAGTGAGAACATACTTAAATACCACTTTTCTGAATTTTGGATTGGTCGTGGTAGTCATATTCCTTAACAATGTGATGAGATATTGATATAAGTATTTAATTCATACCCTCTCGACGTACCTCTACCTTGCCGTGGTAAGAGGGCTTGAGTGTTTTAATGACTCCTGGAGCTATGCCGGCGGTAGCGTAGCTACTGGTAGGGCCTCCGTTGCCGGACAGATCTGGGATGAAAAACGAGACTAAGAGAGATACACCGGTCCTCCTAGGAGGGGGGTTGTGCAGTAGGCCAGCAACCTACTCATGTAAAAATTGAAAGATACACTAAAAACCCTAGAAATAGGCCTCGGATGTTAGATCAGATTTTTGGACAACGAAAATTGCAAAGAAAAAGGTACATGAATATTGGAACATGGAATGTTCAAGGCTTCAGAAATAAGCAACAAGAAGTGTTACTTGAAATTAAATATAGAAAGCTGGACGTAACAATACTCGCGGAAACCAAAAAGAACGGCAACGGATGTGAAAAGTTGAAAAGGTATATCCACTGATACAGCGGGGTAGATAAGTCATCCCACGCAAAAGCAGGAGTATCGATAATTATTCACGAAAAACTGAAACAACAAATAAAGTCATGGAAGAGTATTAATGAACGTATAATCAAAATGATCCTTCAAATTAAAGGACGAACTATAGTGGTTATAGGAATTTATGCTCCAAATGAAGACGAAACAGTAGCGGTAAAAGACAATTTTGACGCAATTTTAAGAGATGTGTTAGATTAAATCCCTAACCGAGGCGAAATCATTATGGCAGGAAAAAGAAAAAGCATGTAAACAGAATGGCAGACGAGAGGTGGCCAAAGAAAATATTAAAATGGATCGCAACCGAAAGAAGGAAAAGAGGGCGTCCAAGAAGAAGCTGGCGAGATGACGTGAATGAAGCCATGGAAGGAAGACCGCTAAATGAAGCCGACACCCGAGATAGGAAACGATGGAAACTAGGGACAGGAAAACAACGACAGTTGTAAACAACCTGTACTATATATATAAATATATATATATATATATATATATATATATATATATATATATATATATATATATATATATATTTAATTCATAAAAAATCCAAAAGAATACTTGTTATTTATAACGTAAATTGTTTACCCATTTTTATTAGGACAATTAGAGACTACAGCACAGGTATTGATTAAATTTGAACTTTTGTGGACTTGAGCTTAGGGTTGCTTTTACTTGGGAGTAAAAGCAACCTCTTCTCGGGTGTAAAAAATTATAAGTTTAAAATAAGTTCGGAACTATTTTAATAAAAAAACCGTTTGTTGTTCATTTTACTTTTTCTCTTTGTTGATTCGGCGGTGAATGAATTAAACGACCTACGTCTTTTCCAAGTGACGCTGGATTGCTTTAAAAGACGAAGTCTAAACCAACCTACGAGTAGGTTCCTTGCATGGCCCCTTAGATAATGCACGATCACATACAGCGAAAATTACGTTGACTTATTTTAAAGTCAATTTGTTGCCTTAGCCTCCTAGATCTACTTCATCCATTGAACATGTCTGCGACATTATTGGAAGAATATCACGCCATTTACCTCATCCTCCACATACTTAGATTCACTTAGGTACGAGGTATAAGTAGCCTGTGAAGAGATATCTCTAGAGGAAATTAATAATTGGTTTCAATTTGATTTTTCTGAAGTTTTGATCAATTACTTAATAAAGTCTGAGACTATTGCGAAGCTTTATACTATATTTTCTATATTTTTAAAATTTAAATAACATTTTTTAGATTAAATAAAGTAATTTTATTATTTATTTATTATTTATATTTTAAACAAATGATATTATATTAACATAATTCAATAAATTATTATGTTTGCTCATAACGCCACCTGTTGAGGTATTAACGAAGCATACGTTGTTTACTTCTGTTAGACCTGTCAAATTCAAACAAAATATGAATTTTATTTATATTTAAAATTTTAATAAAATATGAATAAATATCGTTTGATACTATTAAATTTAATTTTCATATAAATTAATAATATGTTTAAAAATAATAATTGTATTTATATTACATTATTTTAAAACGAAAAATGTGTTCAAAATTTAAACAGATGATTCGATATCGTTATTAATCAGATGATATTTATGACCTTTAAATTTTGACAATCATGGCGAATCGAATCTTTTATTGACAAATATTTTTTTACTTCTCATTTAATGTTGAACTGTATTTTGTTCTTAGGAGTTATTTTTTATGCAGTTTTTAATTTAAATCTGCTTAGAATAAATATATGATGACTAGAAACTAATTGATCAAGAGTAGTGAATCGATGTGATGAACCGCTATTGTATGACGCTATTCGTGACGACGCCATTTTGTGGATTCAGTTCCGTGACACTCGCCTCAGAATTTTACTATAGAGAAAAAAGTAATACCACGCCAGTACAGATGCTTCGCTTCAAAAATTATAGTAATACATTTAGTACTTTTGGGTGTTATTTTCTCTGTCTCTTGGTATAAACCATAAGCCAAAAGTAATTACTTTACACTAAAATGCGGGGTATCCCGTTTAGATAGATTAAACTGTATTGTAAATACTGAAAGTTGGGCAAAGAAAATACATATTATCTTATATATTATTCTATTTAATCCACTTAACGACAAGTCAATATACGTTGTATGCCATTGAAAGTTTAAGTCTTAGTAAAACAAGGAATCTTAACGAAGTTTTGGCAAATAATATGTTATACTAAAGGTAAATAATAGTTGATAAAAATCAACATCATACATCGTTCATAAATGAGTGTGAGATCATACGCTAAATAGAGTAATTGGCTCTTAAAATATTTAAAGATCATGAATAGTGAAATAAAAACCACATACAGTCTAAAATAGCATAATATAATATGAAGATGAGAGATTTGTTCTAAAATACGTTTCAAAAATAAGTAAAAATGAGGTTTTCATTTAAATTTTTTTTTTATTTTCAGAAAGAGAATATATAAAAGTTTTGTCCAGGTGTCCATATCTAAACCTTTAAAGGCATCCTTTCTTGGTTCATTCGTTCCAGATGTCCATACCACTTTAACTGTTTTTCAGCAATCTGTTTGTCAGCAACTGCTTCCATTTTTTCTCCAATGGACTTATTTTTTACATTATGATCATCTTGCATAATCAAATAAAGTTAAATCGTAACATGTTTGCTTAAGAGAAGTTTTTGTGAGGTATTTTTTATCGATGACCGATCTTTTTTATCGGGTCTTTCAATACTGGTATCTGAAGAGCAAACGAAGAGGATTTCGTAATTATTAAGCCATTGCATTAATTTTGTCTTCGTTGAGCCAATTGGCATCCTTTAAAATATGTATAAAAACATATACAGATCATGACATTGTTTTGTTGACCATACAACACAATGGAAATCACTGTGATATGTTACACGTTTACACCTCTATATTCATTTCACAGTAAGTACAAATTGTCGTAATTTTCACATTGCCATTAAAAATTTCAAACGAAGTTCTGAAAGAATAAACAAATAATTAATAAAATACCTATTACGTTGTATACCGTCCAAGAAAAAGTGCAACTTGTAACATGGTACTTTCAGGGTCATTCGATACTCGAAGTAATTGATTTATTTATTATTGCCTTCGAAAATGGACCCCCATCAAGTGATACAACAGTTAAAAATACCATTAAACATGTTCAAACTTCGGGATGTGTAAACAGTTGTAAAAAGTGACATAAGGTAATGAACCACGTGTTAGACCTGTCGATGAGGAGCGTCAAAACAGGGATATTGATATTTGTGGAAGCTGGTAAACCCTGCAATAGTATACAAATTGCTAGGGAAGTTAATGTGAATGCTTAAAATGTCCAGCGAGTTCTCAAAAAGAATGGGTATCACTGTTTTAAGATACAACTAATAAAAGAATTCATTAATCTGTATAATAGAAAACTAAGTTTAATAAATGACTATAGAGATAACTCAGCAGAGGAGCAAGCTGGTTTTAGAGCTGGGCGATCCACCTGTACTCTATTATGCAAGTTATTGAGAAAAAAACAGCCGTCAATAAAGAAGTTCACTTGTTGTACGTAGACTTACAAAAAGCATATGACAGTGTACCATTAAATAAACTATGGTCAACCCTACAGCAAACTAACATTAAGCATGGTCTTTTCAAAGCATTCCAAAGTTTGTATAATGGAACGACTGCAAAAATTAAAACTGGATCAAGGATATCTGAAGGATTTAAGGTCAGAAAGGAATTAAGCAGGGTTGCTGTATTTCGCCTACCCTTTTCAAAATTCATCTGGAACAAGCGCGCAAGCTGTGGAAAAGAAAATGTAATGGCATGGGAATCCCTCTCAATGACGAGACTATACTGTACACCTTATGTTTCGCTGATGTCCAAATACTGATTGCTCAGGATCATGACGACTTGACTTACATGACTCGGAAGCTAATAGAAGGGTATAACAAATGGGGTCTCGAAGTCAACATTAAGAAAACTGAAGCCATGTGTATTGGAGGGACAAAACAGTCCATTATAGTGACGATGGGGTAGAAATTTGAAACTGTGATGAATAAAAGTACCTGGGTATGAAGATAACTCAAGATGGAACACTCAATGCTGCTATAAAAGACAGAAACATACAGGGTAGAAAAGCCATATCCATGATGAACGGTATTCTGTGGGACCAAACAATATCTAAAGCAAACAAACAACTCATATACAATACCATACTTAAAAGTGTAATCACATATGGCAGTGAAGTTTGGCCAATGAAACAAAGAACAGAGAAACTGTTACTAGCAACAGAAATGGACTTCTGGAGAAGAGCAGCAGGCAAATCAAGAAGAGATCGGATTCCAAATGAAAAAATACGAGAAATGATGGGAGTCAAACATACAATAATTGATGACATAAAAACAAAACAGTTAATATGAAGAGAGTGAATTGAAAAAGAACTAGAGGAAAGATAAATCCCTCCAGGCCTATTGTTGAATAGAGAAGAATGGCGGTTAGGAGTTGGAAGGCGTCGGAGAATGCTGTAAACCGATAATAGTAGTAGTACGTTTAATGGTTCGTTTTTATTGTATTCTTACGAGTAATCAAGAATCCGATAAACTTCGGAGAGCTGTAAAAGACAGAAAAGTTAATTAAATTATACAAATTTATAGTGAAAATGATTTGTTGCAACACCTCTATAATATTACTTCGAGATCATTTTATTGTTAAACACCCAGAAAAAATGATAAGGCCCAAAAGTAATAACAATAAATTTGTAGACAATTTAATTTGCTACAAATAATGTTATATAAATTTTTTTGTAGGATTGCAAGTTTACGAGATTAAGAGTTAAAACCTTTTCCCGTTTTTCCAAAACGGCGGCCGGGGGACAAGGGTCCAAGGATCCCATAAAGTTGAACTTAAACTTATACTTACGGTTTCGACACATAAAAAACTAAAATTTCGTCCTCTAAGAAATGCACGATAAGGCATAAAAATGCAACATTTCAATGGACTATTAGTAGTTTTCTTTTGTGAAGAGCGTTTGTGGATACTCTGTATATATATAATTATTTTTCTTTGTAAATGCAGTAAATAGTTGAAACAAACGAATCCGTTAACCCTCTTCAAATTACCCCTACGTTCATTTCCTTTCGACAAAATTTTGAACTTTCCTTGATGTGTAAAGACTGTCAACCTCAGTTCTTGTCTGATTGATATGATTGATGGCAGTAACCTCCTAAACGCCATAATAAATTACATTGTGATAATTTAATTTAAAAAAATTTAAACTAATTTCTTATTATTTATTTATTTAAAATATATTTTCGAGAATGGATTTATATTGTAATATATTTTACGTTTAAATTAAATTAATTTAAATGTCGGTTTTATTGTACAGTTGTAAACATTTGCCATGTACACAGTTTGTCAACAGTAGTAGAAGGAAATAATGTTTCTTAGGGATGACTGTCAGATTGAACATACATTGACCTTGATCAATGACTTGAGTCAATTTACAAACTAATATCATTCTGTATGACGTGATGAACACATAAGATTTAATTTAAAAGCTTAAAAACTTAATTTTTAGAAAGTCTTTGATGACTATTAGTAATTGCAAACTATTAAATAATTTTGTAAGAATTTAAAACAATCTCTATTTCCTATACATGACATTTGTCAACTGTCACTTTTCAAAAATCGTTTAAAGGGACCGACATTTGATTTCATTAGTTCTATTTTGTCTACCTCCTCATAGCAAACAATGGTCGGGTTCTTACACCCGTACCATGACAATTTTTTAATGTGTCTGTGAAGTCCAGTGTCGGTTTTTTGTATGTTTTTTGTAAGAATTTTTAACAACTAAGTAATTAAAAAATCAAAATTTCAACAAATAAGGAAATGAGATCTCTCCATTGTAGTGGTATTTATAAATTGACGTAAGTATAAAATTAAAATCTCCACCAATTAGTTACTTATAAAAACATTTTATTGTAGCATAGCTCCGATGATGGCTTTGTATAGCCGAAAGCGCTCAGCTAGGAATTAATAAAAAATATACACACTTTAAAAATACTTTTTTGCCTTTTCTTTTGACTTGTCCTAAAGATGATTTGAAAATTGTAGAAAGCGAAAACGGTCGTCTTGGTAGTAAAATTAAACTGATTGTGAGTAAGTCTTATTTTATTTCTTTTTACCGATCTAGGAAATATCTTCAGTTGACGTTGAAAAACGGTCAACTACACTCAGTTTACGGTAGTTATCTTTTTATATGTATTAACAAAATCTGCGCATCTGGTATATTTTTGCAGTCTCCGATTGGATTTGAGAGAAAGAACAAACAAAAAGTTGCAGATATTCATCCAATTATTTGTCGAATTATTAAAAATTAAGCAATAAAACTAATTTTCCAAATAGATAAAAATTCATTATTCTTGTTTGTGAAAAGTGACAGAACTCACTTTTATTACAAAAGAGTATAATGTGTAACTTTACTAGACAATGGCAAAATTAATGACTTAGTTGCGCACAAAACGTAATCATTAGTCAATAACGTCAAGAAACAAAGAGGTCGCGATATTTGGTCCGGAGAAAATCTCGAGTGGTCCATCCCTTGTGTAATACCTATATTTTCAGCTTAGACAAGTTGAAATAGGATGCGATAGACAATAAAAATTAAACAAGGTGAACATCAATAAAATCAGTTACTAACAATTTTTTCAATATTGGTTGGCAAATATTTATTATTTTATTTTTAAACAAAATTTGTATTACAAAATATAATTATTCAGCCAAAAAAATAACGGCATGTATGGTTCTACTAACAACATTTTTCAGTGCTCCATTTGTTTTTAGTAGAGTACTAAAGCAACTAAAAAAGTATAGGTATGTTTGTAATTATATATTTATATTGGATACAAGCGTCCCAGTGTAGAGAACACTGGAAAGAACTGAGGGAGGCCTATGTCCAGCAGTGGACGCGATTGGCTGATTCATGAATGTCAATGAGTTGTTTAGAGAATATGTCTTCAGATTGGTCATTTTGGAACTCGACACGCATATTCTTGTTTAAGTTTAATACCTAGATATATTTCCACAAATTGGAAGACTTTAAACATGCATTGAGTTCATTAGTTGTGTTGATCGTGGAATCACTGGCAATGTTTGACGAAAATCTTCTTCTAATAAAATCATTGCACCTCCAAATGGGTTATGATTGCTCCGTAGATCTTGTTTCTAGCTAAAGCCTCCTAAAGATCTTTTATGTGCCATCGTGCATTCATCCCAAACAATCAATTCACATTCCTGAAAAACCTTTGCCATTGCAGAGTTCTTTAAAATATTGCAGGTTGGAGTTTCGTTGCTTTGCATGTTTAATGGCAATTTTAGTGCTGAATGGGCTGTTCGACCACCTTCAAGTACAGTTACTGTGATTGAAAAGTGAGTGAGAGATGAAAAGTTTTTTCTGTGCCACCAGGTGCATCTAAGAAGTAAATCCCTTCTGTTTTATCATTTGTTACTTTCATAAGTGTATCAACTACATACTTCTGTTGTTAATTCGATAGTGGAAGATTTGTTTGAATTAATTCTTTCAAAGTGTTGAGATCATACAGTTTTTCTCGGTGCAACTCTTGGTTAAAAGCATCATGCA